ATGCTAATGAATGATACACCTATCCCGCAGTATTACATCACCTTCCATACTAGCTCAACCGTTGACCATGGTCTTACCACTGATTACCCTACCGAAAACATCCAACGTCGAGCATACACCCGACCTAGCATCCCAAATTGAACTCATGTCTTGACTGAAATCCTCAACCTGATTCTCTAAGGCCTGCTCTCCAGCATTCCGAGAATGTGATCTCATTATTTGCAAGATTTCTTAACTTCCAACTCACACCATCCTCATTCCATACAACAACTTGGCTATCTTCCTCCTTGACCGGGATGCGAACTTATTCTAGTCTCATGCCCACTTCTGGTCCTGAACGTCTAGGGACTTCTCCCCCACCTGGTTTCAACTAACATTTAAATCACACAAAACCGGAAAAGATTCCCAATCCTTCTTACCATCTAATGATCCATCTACTGGAAACCAACATTTACCACTACTAGTGTTCCAAAAATAGCCAATGCTAAATCAGCACATCTCTTAGATATTGACAGAGCACTCCTCGAGTCTAGCGGAACTGGTAGCCCTTACCGCTTGAAATGGTACTGCACTCAAATCTCGAAGACCAAAAGTCAGCTGCTCCAAACCATACCTTAGCAACGAGCCATTTCCTTGGTGTTAGCCAATCAATAACGGTTACTAAAACTACTGAACCCTGATGATGTTGTATAACCATCCTGCGGAACCCTGACTGCAAACCTTCCACATAATACCCCTGCACTAATCCCATCCAAAAACCAAGATAATGTTGAGTCTCGCCAATAGGGAACAACCTTTGATTAACCAATAATGATCCACGGTATGCAAATGGCGAGGTAGCCGCTTGGCGGACTCGTCTGATCGAAAAACAAACTAGAAGGAGAGGTGGCGGATGAAAGGCTCACATGAGATGGTGGCAGATGTAATATAATAGTAAGGTTAGGGTTTCAATATTCCAACGAGAGGGAAAGAAAAAGATACAGGGTTAAACCGTTGATCCTCTGAAGTACCATAAACCATTAACTAAAATTGTAAGCCAATGCTTAGTAAGTTTCCCTAAAGTAACAACACACCACATAACCAACAAGCATACAGATATGAGCAGCTAGCCTGATTGAATCACCTTGTAGGGCCTACAATTGATCTGCCCTGCTCTACGAGCCTTCAGCATGATTGGACCGCCTTACCGGGCCTGTAGCCTATCTAGACTGCTCTACAGGCCGCCAACCTGAATGGACTGCCTCGCAAGGCCTATCACCTAGCTAGTGATTTTTCATGTCCAAGTTGACTAAGTTGAGTTAGGATAAGTTAGAATCGGACCGAGTGAAGTCTCATGACGTGATCAAGGACTGCTCATGACGTGAGGATAGATAGTTGACATTTTGGGCATTTGGTTGGGCCTTTATCGAATTAGACCTATATTGGGCCTTAGGTGTCTTTTAGATTTGGGCCAATTATTGTGCTTTTAGAGACATTGAGTTTGGGCCTTGATCTTTGGGCCAATTAAGGGGAAGGGTAAAATAGTCTTTTACACTAGGAGTTGGGATTAGTGAATTAAGTCCCAATTATGGTTATGACCTGATTATTCATCATGATTGTATTTGATTGCTTAGCACGGAGATTTTCCAGTCTAGTAGCTCGAGCATCTGTTGGATTGTCAGCGGACTGAGGTGAGTTTGCTCACTATAATATAGAAAACTAGGACATGTTATGTGCTTGTAGTCATTGTGACTCATGTTGTATGCGTTATATGCTTGTGTGCTTGTTTTTATATGTGTGCGGAGTGAAATAGACTCGGTACAACCTAGTGGTTACATATGAGTTGAAATAGGCTCGGGGGTGTAACATACCAAAGGGTGAAATAGACCCGGCATGGCCTTGGGCCGACACATGAGTTGACATAGACTCGGGGGTGAAATAGTCTCGGGGGTGAAATAGACCCGACATAACCTCGAGCTGGCAGATATGTATGGTATGCAATATTTTGGGGAATTTACTAAACTTCGTGCTTATGATTTATGTTTAAAATGTTTTTCAGGTAATCCCGGTTCGTGACGGAAGGGTTTGACTTGATCGTAGCACATCCACCCATGTTTCTGCACTCTATGAGTTTGGAAATTGTATTATGATAACTATTTTAGTCTAATATAGCTTTAAATGATTGAAATGATTAATTGATGTTTATGGTTGAACTAAAAATGAAAATTTTACCTTCATTTTTTTGGGATGTTACGATAGAATAGCTTGGTCCATGAAGAATAAGTGATCTTAGGGCTCGTTTGATAGTTGTTGTCAGGGAAAGTGCTATCTGGGAAAGTTTACTAACTGGGAAATAAATCATGTTGTTTGATTGTACATCTGATTGACTGTGCTGAATATGAAAAATAATCATATTACCCCGATGTTCTATACTGGATGGAATTGATGAGTAGTTATAAAAACGTATAATTTGTCGTACAAAATCAAAATTAAACAATAATCATTTAAGAATACAAATACAAATTGTCGTACAAAATTAAAATTACACAAAATGAATGTTAAAATCATAATTTCTAGTTGAAACTTTATATATGAAATTGTGCTCCTAAATTTCATGCTCAAAAATCAGAAGATAGAAAATAAGATGAAACATATGAAGGTTCACATCTGGTACTCTCCACTCTGAAGAAAGAGAAAAAAAGAGAGATGAGATGGTTACCTATGGGGCGAAGCTGGTGGCTACAGAGCTTGGTGAGGAGGCGATGATGTCTAATGAAGAGTGCCGAAGAGAAGAAAGAAAGATGCGAGTTTTGGGGCATAATTGTCATTCCAACCCATTCAGCCAGATAAATTTGATTTTCTGCTTTATGGGAAAGACGTATCTTACCGACAAATACCCTTTTTTGAGTAAATCAAACAGTCTTTCCGGACCATTCAGCCAGAAATATTTGTTTGGACCAAGAAAAATGTCTATCAAACCGGGCCTTACTACCATGAAGGTTTTAGATCTTCGTATAGATAGTGGTAACATAATATGTTGGATGCAATGATGTGACCTTGCCATCACTATCCTCCTTCTCAGACATCACGGAGAGAATATGTGGAAATCAATTTTGAATTTACAAGGATGAACACAACATTTGTAGCTTCGATTTAAGAGGCGGCGATGGGCTTGGAAGAATTTTTAGGGTTATTGTGGCACTGATACCATAGAAAATGTTATATCAATCATGTGTTATTATTGAATAATGATCCCAATGTATTGGGAAGATGCAAAGTTGATTACCAATTACGGAAGATAAATTAGGAAATGATATTAACAAATTTATCTATATTTATATCAATATACAAATATTTTAATATGATAATACTCAAAACCCGACTTACTCAATGACCCATGTCAAGATTACCCAACATTATCTCCATAAAGTCCATTAAGATGCAAATAATTACTAGGTCTCTAACAAGTTTATCCATTAAATCGCTTTTATTAGGCTTTTATTAGAAATGGCTAGGTTAGATGATGCATGACAAAAAAAAAATTGTGAAACAAGATAACTTACAATATACTCGTGAAATCTAGAGATGTGATAAAATGCGGTACGGTTCTTGTAAATTAATTTTAGAACAAACCCTATGAAAGAATAAAAAGAGAAATAAAGACCGTTTATAGTGAACAAATTAATATAATAGACACCAATTATTCTTGATAACACTTATGTCGTACATTCTTTGTGTTGTCGGATGTAAAAAAAGTCAAGGGTTGCATAATATTTTTAAGGGTTGCATTAAAAAAAATAAAAAATAAAAACTCATTTTTCAACCGCAGTTCCGTTACAAATCTCTCACTAAAAAGGTTGTCATAAATCCCTCACTAAAAGGGTTACACAAACATATTTACATTAAAGTTACACTTATAAAGATTTTGTGACAAATTTCCAGTGGATACGTGACGGATTTCCGACGGATTTGTGATGGATAGTGACAGATTTGTGACGGACTAACTTTTGCACTTGACGGCAAAATTTGAGGGGTTGCTCGCCACACCAAGTAGGTCCTCAGCCCGATATTCTAAGGACGCGAAGGAAGTATAATTTGAATATTATTCTGGTTAGAACTGCATATTTAATAGATTAATAAACCTGATGGTTTTTCATATATTCCAAAAATGAAGGAACATCAAAATGCCGATACTCTCTACACCAAGAGTCTGATGGTGTTTGTAGAAGCAAATGATGTATAGATTTTTAGTCTGAATAACAAAATGAATTTGTGTAGCCTTTTTAAGTGCCACTTAACATATAGACTAACAAAATTTGTAAATCAATATTTTGGGATTCTCTCTTGGATATATCTAAGTGAAGCACTCTTGTCGAGACTCTCACACATGACAAATAGGTCAAATCTTATTTCTGGTTGAACGACAGATAAAAACTCAAAATCATTTATAGAAGTAAGTAAGAGTGTAAGACACAGGTTCTTGGAAGTACGAGAAAACAAATCTCATAAAGTTCAATTCTTCTTCGTGGTTAAATCCATCCATTTCTTTCAACTTTGGTATAATCTCAATTGGCGTAATTCAGGAATTAGGCCTCAGGGGCATTTTGGAAATTTTTATGGAAACTTTCATTTTAAGCATTATTTGTGTTAATTTAGGATGCCATCTGTTATAGTATAAATAAGGGTATTGTTTTATGTTTATTTAATCAAGTAGTCAGCAATAAAAGTATATTTTCCAGCAAGTATTTCACAGCTAGCGTTTTTTTCATTCTTCCCCTGTTTTGCCATGTTCTCTTCTTCCTTCCTTCCTTCCTTTTCTGTTCAGTTTTCTATTCTTAGGCAAAAAGGTTGCGTCAGGTATCATCAGGTAGATCTCTAACAAAAATCGCGTGGATTATCATAATGAATGTAACTCAAAGCAAAATGTCAAGCAGTTATCAACCACTGTTTCTCACCTCCCTCTCTACAGTCTCATAGATTTGCAACCATTTCAAAACTGGTGGTTATCTCGATAAAAATTCTCATTCACTAGAATGCAAATTGAATGGACTTTTGTAGTTTGCGACTATCATTTCTGCATGCATGATGGTAAAATTAATGCTCATAACATGCATATCCGCACATCCAAGAAATTGTTTACATAGACTTGTTTGCAAGGGATTCTAGATATATTTATAAATCACATTACAAGAAAATAAAATATCAAACAAGCCAAGCCAAGTACATATATAAAATATAACCGGACTAAAATCCGCTTTATTTTTGCTGAACCAAGAACATGACACGCCATATATATATATATATATATATATATATATATATATATATATATATATATATATATATATATATAAATCCGGTAAGAAATTTTTTTTGGTAGGAAGGTAAGAAGTTTTTTTTCTACACATTTTTTTTACGAACAAAATAAATGAATCACTAGATGATTCATTTTTAAGATGATTCACAAAAAAAATTCTCAAAAAAACATCTTTATGATTCATTTTTAAGTAAATTAAGAAAAAATTCATTTTTATGATAATTTTAGTGAATAACAACAAAATCATTGTATAAATGAATCATAAAGATGTTTTTTTGAGAATTTTTTTCTTGTGAATCATCTTATAAATGAATCATCTAGTGATTCATTTATTTTGTTCGTCAAAAAAATATGTAGAAAAAAACTTCTTACCTTCCTACCAAAAATTTCCTTCTTATTTGATCTTGACACTATATATATATATATATATATATATATATATATATATATATATATATATATATATATATATATATATATATATATATATAGTATTGATCAATAAGTTTGAGGATTTGCATGGATAAAACCCTCAATCGCGTTGAAAGTTTTTTTGAATCCTTCTTTTACCATATTGAGAGCTTCCTCCGGAAGCTGAGTTTCACCTTTACAATTATACACAACGGTAGGCTTGTATACACATCCTCCATCAGGTGAAGGTATAAACTTCACATGATGAGTCATCGAATCTAGTTGTCCCATCAAGATGTCTCCTTCAAAGATTGTGTATATAATACTGAAGTTGTTGCTATCTACAACATCAAGTTTCAACTTTCCATTTGTAAATGGGACGCCTGTGTTATCCCACAGTAAATTGGATAAAGATAAACAAAATACAAGTCAAACATTAAAATAATTTCAAAGAGTACATAAAAATCTATTTAGATCTTACTAACCATCGCCAAAAGAGATGTCCCTGATAGTTCCAGCGCCTCCATCACCTTCGATGTCCACTAGGATTTTGTATGTTTCTGGATCGACCTTTGGTGCAATGTTGTTAAAGTCACGATAGGCATTGAAAATTTTGGAAGCTGGGAGGGAAGAAGCAATCTCGAACTCAGAAGTTATAACTGCCATGATATTAAATCACTCTTTAAATTGTTTTGAATTTTGCTTCTTTGAAATGTTGTATTTATAGAACTATGGGTTGCACATGGATGAATATTAATGGTGTATTATTTTAATTTATCGAAAGACAAATATGGGGTGGTAGCATTTTGCAAATCAGCATTTGTTTGGAAATTCCCAGGTTCCATAGTGGTGCTTTATTTTAATTTATCAAATGACAAATATGAATTAGTTGCATTTTTGGAGTCGGCATCTATTTGGACAGTTCGAGTTTCCTGGGCCTGACAAAGTCCAAACTCAAGAAGAAGTTTATTTTTTTCCAGCAACAAAACAGTAACTTGCAGCATTTGTAGTGAGTAAAGAAGCACAATTTATAAGATTCACAAAAGGGGTTTCCGAAAGTTGAACCACTAGAAATAGCAACAATGCAAATAAAATTTTCAAAGATTCTATCTTTTTGTTTAAATGTTATCCAAAAATACCCTTCAACCCAAAAAAATAAAACTTACAGTGACAGGGCCTTCAATAATCATCAAGGGTATACGGACGTGCATTACTAACGCAAATAAATGGTGCAGAAAGGAAAAGATGTATAACAAATAGCATTCAAAAGTGCATTAGTATATGGAAGCAAGCATGTATATATAAAAAAAATAATCAAATAAATAAAAAACTATTCAAAATCCCACGTTTTCATCACACTCTCAACAATAGATTGACATCAACTCCATTGAATTGAAAGAAAATCAGATAGACAAATCAATAAATTAATTACCTTAGGTTATAAGGAAATTTGTCAACGGTTACCTTGATTTCTTTGCCAGGTCGGTGATAATAAGCATCTAAGTCGAGACACCCAAGTCAACTGAAATATCACGTGGGTTGCACTCCTAATCAACCAAAGAATCTCGTACTCAATCAATATACTGAAATCGAAACCTATATATAAGCAATATATAAGCAAGTAGAGCATCAATAAAATCAAAGTCAAAATTTTAACCTCATGGATCAGGCTGTCAGAACATAAAGCAGCACAAATCTACTTATCGGGATAACATGAAGGGATACTCACAACCACCAATTGAAAGCATGGAATCAAAAACCCACAGCTACCAATAGAAACTATCGATTCAGAATGAAACACATATCTTGAAGAGAACACAGGAAGAAGGCAGTTGATGCTTGAAGAAGAAGGCAGTTGATGCTTGAAGAAGAATAGAAGTGCAGGGGGTGTCGTAGTCAACAATTCGATGGTTCCTGAAGTAGAAGATGGATCTTACATGAATTCGCTGTTTCTATCGATGAAGTCAACTGGCTGAATGAAAGTGAACCAGGTAATATCTTTCTGACCATTTTACCCTCCAAATTCTCTCAGTGGAACCTTAAACAAAACTCAAGACACTCTAAAATGAGGAACATGTATGGTCACATATTGCTTCTTGTCACCATTGTTTTCTTGGCACTTGACCTCGGTGAAAGCCTCCATCCTCATCATTGTAAGGGCACAACAATCATTTACTTCCTTTGCGTTATTAAATGTTAAGAAAAGAAGCTTTTTATTTGCAATTCCATTTTACGTCACTTTAGATGGATGTTAATTTTTTGACTTAATAGGTAAAAACTCAAAAACAAACCTTACTGGTGGCAAGGCCCATTGATAAATCAGCTAAAAAAGGAATCATCAGCTTCTCCACTTTTTTTGTGATATTACCACACCCCAATTGTCATCGTTTTCCATCTTCACTACTTTAATGGCTTCTGTCGTACTTCCAACTTGGTTCACCTACAAAATATTCTCAATATTCATTTTCGTATACATCAGTTTCCCATTTTTTCCTTTTTGAATTGTGGTTTTATTTTTTAGATATTATACTAATACTTAAAAGGGTACCTTGAAAAGAACAGCATCGCAAGCATGTTCTTCGATGGCTCTTTCTATATTTTTGGGATTTGACATCAACAACTCATCACCAAAAACCTGGGATTTGACATCAACAATAACCTCAAATAAGGACCAAATTACCCCCCGTAATCCGATCATAAACAAACCTGGATGTGTTGGAATTTTAGAATTTGTCCATTCGAATTTATAAAAAGAGGAATCATAATCGAAACACACACCGAAAATAGGGCAAAAAGATAATTTTGGGTTTTTTTTACCGTGAATCGTGATAACGGGAGGCATCACCGATGGTAGCAGAAAAAGACAATTATTACACCCATACCCTTCCCTGTTCCTGAAGGTGTATTCATGAATCTGAATAAAAGCAACACAAAAAAATGAGCTAATTAAGAGGATAAAGGCGGTGGAAAGCCGAAAACAGCGGGAATAGAGAAAGTGGAAGGAGGTGTCGATAGAGATAAGGGGTGTGATACTCATCTACAAAGACCAAACGAAAAGGATTATTCAAAAAGGGTCATAGACACCAACAAATTCTCATTGGCTTACATCCTTTATGATGTTCGCTGGCTATCCACACAAATAAGAAGGGTGGAGACGGTGGTCTGGAGTTGGTTGAGCCAGAAGCCGGTGAGGCAAACAAAAGGAATCATAAATCTACGTGAAGCCATCAAAGGAAGAAAATGGTGGGTCGAAGATAAAATGATGAATAGAAGAACAAAAGCAAATTGAGATAAGAAGAAAGATGGGAAGTGAAAGGCGGTGGAGTGAAGTCTGTGGCCAAAGTAGGAAGGGAAAGAAAAAAAGGGGCACAAATGAGAAAACCAAAAGTTTTCTGTTCACCACCATTTTAGCAATTAATGGTATATATAATGATATATAAATTTGCTAGTGTTGAAATGTTAATATGCATTACAATCAAATATTTATATGTAAGGGATTATTTTGGTATAAGGAAATAGGTACACATACGAGTCCTAACAGGTATACACGCGGATCTTCACTCGGATCTTATTGTTGGATCTTTATTATATACGGGTAAAACCGAAGTATAAAAGAGAGGGGATATTTCTAGAAGAGTGAGAGAGTCATTGTTCATCCGTTTTTCAGATCTGAGCATCAGGGTTTCTTGGAGCGATTATCTGTCTCTCTTGTTTCATATCGAGTTCTTGTTTTTGTTTGTTCTAATTCATTTGTAACAAACAGATTGTATAAAGAAGATGAGTAGATTAGGATGAGTGTTTCGTAGTTGAGAGTAGATTAGGTTATTTGTAGTGAGTTTTCAGTTGTAAGTATATGAAAACCTTCTGTTTCTTTGTCATAAAAAGATATAAGAAATGAAGATGTTGGGAATGATTTGAGTGTCGTTTTTTAACATGGTATCAGAGCGTAAGGTTGAAGGTTTTTTGATCTTGTCACTCCGATCGTCTTTTTGAAGCTCTCATCAACCGATTAGTAAAAGGTATTCATCACTACTCATTTTTGAACTCGTTTTTCGTTTTTTGTGTTCTATTTTGGTTAGGGTTTCTTCGTAATACCCGATTGATTGTTGAAACTGGTCATCAAGATCCTGGTACTGCTAGCTGTTGTTTGGATTGTGCAGGCTCGTAAGGATCGATCTGGATTGGAAGCTCTTTGACGATCTGTATTAAAACGTTGAAGCTAGATCGATAAATCCCTTATCTGAAATAACTCTCTTGGGGTCAGATTTCATCACTGATAAACCCTCGAAGAGAACGGATTTAGGGAGTCGATCTTATAAACAATCCGGATTAGTGCACTGTGAGGTTTCTTGTTCCTTCTTTTATCTTTTTCTTGACTGTGATTGTGAGATATTCTGGTGTCTTGTGTACATCGGTTGGTTGCTTTGTTTTTTGTGTCCTTGTTTATCCCTGATCTTGATTGAACTTGGTGGTTGACTGTCTTGGGCCCCGACATACTGTGGTGACCATCTGGACATTAAGTCAACATTCTTGTTCCTTGTGTTTTTCTTGTTATTTCTTTTGTGTGTTCTTGTTTTTTTCGTTGATCTATAATGGCTGATATACCAGAGGGTAGTGGGTCTACCAAAGAAAAAGATTCTACTACTCCAGGTACCCCAATTGATTTTGATGATCCATTGTATATTCATCCTTCTGATAATGCTGTAACCTTTTTCATTACTATTAAACTCACTGGTAATGAGAACTATCATCTATGGCGTAGTGCTATGATAAGAGGGCTTAAGGCTCGAAATAAGCTAGGGTTTGTAGATGGTACACTTACTCTTAATAACACTGAGTCATCTAAGTCTTCTAAATGGGAACGTGTCAATGCTGTTGTTTGCAATTGGATTTTAGGATCAATATCTGAGTCAATTTATGCTAGTCATGTGTATTCTGATAAAGCTGAGGATATTTGGAATGAATTGTTTGAAACCTATAACAAAGCTGATGGATCCATAATATTCAATATTCATCAGCAGATTAACAACTTAAAACAAAATGGCTCTTCTCTTTCAGATTACTATAATAAACTTGATTCGTTATGGAAAGAATTTGATGGTTTAACTAGCTTAACAGAGTGTGTATGTGAGGCTGCTACCAAACTTAGTGATCATTCTAAACTAATGAAATTAATGCAGTTTCTTAGTGGTCTTGATGATAATTATAACCAAGTTAAAAGTCATATTCTGTTAATGGAACCACTACCAAATGTTAAATCTGCCTTTTCTATCTTATCAGGAGAAGAGTCTCTTCAAAAACATGGTTCTTTAGGGGTTTCCAGTTCTTCTAAAACTCAAGTGTCAGCTTTCAATAGTAAAACAAGTGAATTTAAGAAGTCACAGGATCAGAATAGGTCGAGAAATCAGTTGCAATGTAAAAATTGTGGTGTTAAAGGTCATTCTATTGATAGATGTTATAAATTGATTGGTTATCCAAAAGATTTTAAATTCAGAAATGGAAATAATTATCAGAAAACTGGAACTCTTTCTGTGAATTCTTCTACTATTGAGCCTAATAATGTTAATTCTAATGTTCACTCTGAGTCTGTTCATAATAGTGATGTTCACTATCTCACTAGTGAACAATATAATAAATTTCTTCGGTTGATAAATGAGAAGTCTTCCAGCGAGGATGTTACTGCACCTGGTAATATGGCAGGTACATCCTTGTTTCACTGTTGTAACTCCTTTTCTAATACTGATAGTTCTCAAAGTTGGATTATCGACTCAGGGGCAAATCAACATATGATTTCCTCTGAGCCCCAACTTAGAGATGCAGTCAATGTGTCTGGTCTTAATCTTTTTGTAAAACATTCGAATGGGTCATCTGCACCTGTGAATAAAATAGGATTATCTTCAGTTGTCTTCATGTCTCACATTGTTTGATGTCTTTGTTGTACCTGATTTTAATGTTAATCTTGTGTCTGTACATAAGTTGTGCAAAGATAGTAGGTGTGAGGTTGTATTTTCTGAGAATAATTGCAAAATCCAGGATTCACTATCAAAGGAGATGGTGGAGAGTGGTAGGGAATCTGGGGGGCTGTACTATCTTGATTGTATCCCCTCAGGTAACTCTTCTGATTTTTCTAATACTAGATGTTATGTATCTAAATTTACTTGGCACAGTAGACTAGGTCATCCAGCTGATCAAGTTCTAGGACATTTGAAAGAAAAATTAAAGCTTGGTAATGAATCACTTCCACCCTATGATGTTTGTCATAAGGCTAAACAAACCAGGGAATCATTTCCTCATAGTCAACATGCTTCTACTATGATTGGTGAATTAGTTCATTTGGATGTTTGGGGACCATATAGACTTGCTTCAGTTGAAGGTTTTAAATACTTTCTGACTATTGTGGATGATTTTACTAGGGCAACTTGGGTTTTTCTTTTAAAATCAAAAAGTGAAGTTTTTTGTTGTTTTAAATCTTTTGTGACTATTCTTCAAACTCAGTTTGATGTAAAAGTTAAAGTGATTCGATCTGATAATGGGACTGAGTTTGTAAACAATCAGATGAATTATTTTTGTATTGAAAATGGGATTTTACATCAAACCTCTTGTGCTTACACTCCACAACAAAATGGAGTTGTGGAGAGAAAGCATAGACACATTCTCAATGTGGCACGATCACTTCTTTTTCAATCAGGGCTTCCTGTTAAATATTGGAGTGATGCTATTTTAACTTCAGTTTTTTTAATAAATAGGATGCCTTCTTCTGTTTTAAATGGTTTTTCACCCTATGAGTTGGTTTTTAAAAGGGCACCTATTTTTGATCATCTTAGAGTTTTTGGTTGTTTATGTTTTGTTGTTAAACTTAATATAGGTGATAAATTTTCTGAACGTGTTGAGAAATGTGTTTTGTTAGGATATTTTGTTGATAAAAAGGCTTATAAGCTTCTTAGTCTTGATTCTAACTCATCTTTTGTATCCAGGGATGTAAAATTTTATGAATCTGTCTTTCCATTTAAACTAAAATCAACTTCTGTTGATAAAGTGACAAGTGTTTCAGGCCCTAGTGATCCTTTTTCCTATGATGACTTTGACACTAATGATTATCAAAATGATTCTATTAATCCTGATGAGTTGAGAATTGAATCCCGGTTGGATGGTGCTGATGCAACCATTGACTTGGATGATGTCAGTAATGAGACTATTAACCGAAGTGGCGAGGCAGTTGTGCCTCCTACTGGGTCCTCGGTTCCTTCTTCTTCTAGTGTGTCTGAGGAAGATAGTCAGTCTCATTTTTTACCTTCAATTGAGCAATCTTTGGGTCCCTCCAGGTCTAGACGTGAGTCAAGAATGCCTGTTAAATTTGCTGATTATGTGGTAGAAGGTAAATATAAGTATGGTATTGAAAGAACTGTGAATTATTCTTGTCTTAATTCTGAAACTAAATGTTTTGTTTCAAATTTGAATAAAACAATTGAACCTAAAAGTTTTAGTGAAGCTGTTACTGATCCAAATTGGGTCAAGGCTATGAATGAGGAAATGGAAGCTTTACATAGAAATAATACTTGGGAAATAACTAGTCTACCTAAAAACAGGAAAGCAATTGGATGTAAGTGGGTGTATAAAATTAAATATAAATCTAATGGTGAGGTTGAGAGATATAAAGCTAGATTAGTTGCAAAAGGTTATAATCAAAGAGAGGGAATTGATTTTGAGGAGACTTTTTCTCCTGTTGCAAAAATAGTAACTGTTCGTATTGTTATTTCTCTGTC